CTCTTTTGAAAATCTGGCCAGTTGTGCATAATTACAGAACAAGACGACTTCCTTTACCAGTATATTTTAGAGACTAGCTAAACCTGAGGGTATGTAATCCTTTTAAAAATAATTCTATTGAAGTAACTGTAGAGGTTCTCATTATCCAGAAAAGAGAGGCTATGATGCAGATGGTAGGAAGCTGGGCTAGGAGTTCTGGCTCTGCCAGCAGCCTGCTGGGTGTGTTGTGTGTGACTTCTGTGCTTTGAGTTTCCCCACCATTAACAGAGAGCTAACAAATGCAGTTTACCCTCTTTTGACAAGAGGGTTGAGATCTATGCATAAGAAGAGCTAAAGATTGTTTTATAAATGCCTAGTCTTTTTTACCTGCTCCTGGAGTTTAAGTACTACACAGCCAGTGGTGAGGTGGAAAGAGCATACCATTAATACAATATAGTGGGTGCGTCTACATGAGACACTTTACTGCACAGGAGACTAATCTACTGCACAGTAAAGCATCACCATTACCACAGAAAAGCACATATGCACACTATTTACTGCACACCAAGTTAATCTACTGCAGTTAGCTACTACTTATAAGTGCAGGTAGTAAACCAACTGCACAGTAGATACTGCATGGTAGCACACATGTAGATATTGACCAGGAGCAAAGTTTCTCCCGGCCAACCCCAACACTAGGGGACTACAGGGGATGGGGAACTCGCCTAGTCCTGGCTGAGGAGCTGGAAGCTGAGCAGTGCCAGGACAGGGGAGGTCTCTGCTTCCCCATGCAGCCAGGAGCTGGCTGGGAGCTTTCCCATTTCTGGGGCTGCTCCCAGACAGCCCTGGGCTAGGTGGGGATTTCCCCAAGCAGTTGGGGGCTGGCCGGGAGCAGCCCAGAAGTGGGCCAGCCCTGGGCACCTGGCCAGCCCCTGGCTGTGTGGGAAAGCTCTGCTGGTCATGGGGCTTGTCTCCATGTGCACAAGGCTGGGAGAGCTCTGCAGTAGCAGCTGTCTTCTGGCTCTGTGCATATCAGGCCCTCTCCTAATGTGTATGGGGCATGGAAACAGCTGTCACTGCAGCTGGCAGAGTTGTCCTGGCCATGTGTTTATGGGGGCTGTCCCCATACTCCCTGCCAGTCCCCAGATTAGTATCCTGGGGGAGCCTGGATCTTACCCTGGCTGCCGCAGGGGACCAGAGCAGGGTAGGAGCAGCCCTGTACCAGGCTGGCACCATAGGAAGAGGGAAAAATATTATTTAGGGGGCTGAGCACACACACACACCACCCAGCAGGTAAGTCTGTGAAGGAAAAAGGGGGTGGGAGAGGGAAGGGGCATCGGGGGGAGGCAGATTGAGGCCCCCACAGTGAGGGAGGGAGCAGGACAGGGGCTGGGGTGAATGGGGACCCAGGACAGGTCATGGGACAGTTGGAGCCCAGGTGGCTTATCCAGGAGTGCAGGGGGTGGGGGCTCCCACTGCTGTGGACAGCCTGGGGGAAGCACAGGGGGCACATGCCCCCTAGATTTGTGTGTGGGGTGGAGGCAGGCTGCTGGTGTAGGCTGGGGCTCTGTGCCCTGCTGTCCTTGCCCCAGGAGCTATGCAACACCATGTGCCTGCCACCACCAGACAGGCAGGGGATGCGATGCAACCCAGTGGTGGCAAGCACATGGTGTCACATGGCTCCTGAGGGAGCAGCAGTGGTATGCAGAGCCCCAGTCCACAGTGGCAGCCCTGTAGACAAATCCAGGGGGCACATGCCCCCCATGCCTCCCCTGGGGTGGGACAGTGGAGGGACCCCCCCACATCCCTAGATGAACCACCAGGGCTCCAACTGTTCCATGACCTGCCCCAGGGCCCCACTCCTTCCCTCACTGTGGGGGCCTCAATTTGCCTCCCCCTTCACAAACTTGCCTGCGGTGGTGGGCAGTACTCAACATGTGGTAGTGTTGCGATCCTGGCTGTATGCAGGCTGAGGCTGTGTATCTGTGTCTGTGTGTACCCCCTGCTGCAGCCGCCCAGAGCCCACACCTGGGCTGCTCTGCAGCCCTCTGTGCTGCCACTGCTGCCCTGCATTTGTTGGGGCTAAGCCTCATTAGCCTTCTGCTGCCTATGGCCGGCTCCCATTGGGAGTAGTTTTGCTCCAAACAGGAAGTGTGTGTAGACATGCTCCCAGGGAAGACTTACTGCACAGTTTTTTACTGCGCAGCAAGCCTTTATAGCATTAATAGCACATGTAGACATGCCCAGTATATTTCATGCCCAATTTAGTACAAGAATATAAAGGCCTCTGGGAAACGTCATTATTATTTCAAAATAACTTTTGTTGGATTTCCAAATGCCGGATGTTGAAGTTTAGATAAGACCTGTTTCCAGGATGTCAGCAGATGTTATGCACTTTAGTAAATTGAAATGGTTAACTAAGTTTGATATAAACAGCTGAGCATTTTTAGAACACAAATACTGTTTCCAGCTCCATAGGATCTGGCCTTTCCTTCTCTTAGTTTCAATTTCTCATCCTGTATTTTCTTTCTGACTAACCAGGCTTAAGCTTTTTGTAGCATCTTTCTGCAGATGTGGTCTTTAGATGCCTACTATAACTGAATGCCTACAGTTGACTGAAACCAAAAAATTATGTTTAAACTAGGGAACTTTGCAGACTTTCACAGGGGCTTGCCATTGCTACTATAGAAAGCTTGAATGTCACTGCACCTGATGAGCTAAGCAAATTCACCACACCAGCCAAAGCCACTATGTAGATGATGTTCAGAAACAGGAGACAGAGTAGGAGAGAGAACAGGATAGAGCCCAAGTAAGATAGAACTCAGGTAATTGTCTCAGCTATACTTTCTTTTTTTTTGCTTTCTTTATTTCTTCCTCAAGGTCAGTTTGTAACTGCACACAGGGTTTGATCAAAGTTGTGGGGGGGAGGAGGTTGTACTCTATGCTTTGATGGCTTACAAACTTGTGCTTTCAATCTCTCTCACCCACTAAAAAAGACTGACACTGATGTGTGACATAGTTTGACTGTGTTTGTTAATTGGCCTGTTTCTCAAAGCAGGGGTTATTGCAGTTCTGAGCAGTAGTTTTTAAAATGAGTTTTAAACTACAGTGGACTAACTGGGCATGTCTACATGTGCATTAATGCACCATAATTACAATGCATTAAGTTTAGTACCTGTGGGCATTTATACATGGCCGGGGGGGGCAGCTTAATTAGAGCCACTCTAATTAAAGCGCCCAGAGAGTCTCATACATCAGTGTCCCCACGCTGAAAAGTGACAGTGGGGGTGCTTCAACCAAAGTTCACTGAACAAGATTTATTTCAAGTGTCCCTGCTGCCATTTTTAGCACAGGGACACTAACGCATGAGATGCTGGAGTCTGCTGGAGCACAATAATTATTGGGCTCCAGAAGACTCAATTAATTGAGTAATTACAGTGCATCAGAGCAGCCTCGCTGCACGTGTAGAGGCACCCTTTAATAACAGGTACTAACTTAATGCATCATTATCAGTGCGACTGCACAATAGCACCTTCTCAGGTGTTTTAGGTGATGCTAATACACCTAACTGTACTGTGCATAAGTGCATTAGCACAGCTTTTGCCTTGATGCACTAATGCACAGTAGAACTAGTCTACTGCGTTTCTAGCATTTCGTGTAGATGTGCCCACTAAGAATGCATCCTATGGAGGGACTATTTCTCACTTCTCCTCGTGTCCAAGCTGTTCTTCCAAAGTGGTAAAGCTGAGTTCTAGCACAGTACCCAGGCACAAAGCCGCAAATAATAATACAAACCCTGCAAATAAATCACAATGTTGCACAAAAGAAAATAAAAGAAAAAAAGGGAGTATGAAAGACTAAGTGTACCACCTATGCCTGAAGTCTCTGCAGTGGCAGAGGGTTCATTAGGTAAAATATGCCTGGATGTTCTTCATGCTACAGAAGGTGACAAAAAACCCTAGTTGCCCCTGGAAGTCTGACCTGGGAGAATTTTTTCCCCACATATTGGGGTACTACTCCCAAAGGATCAAGTAACTGGATATTTTCCAAAAGATGCCCAGAAATTTTCAGTGTATCTAGATGTCAGTATTTATGCATTTTTAAAGAAAATATCTGATTTGATTCACCTATCCCTACTACAGAAACCTTCTGGTAACTGTTAGCACAATGTTTTACTTGCAAAACTTAACAGTTGCTGGAGGAAATTTCAAATCAGAGCCTCATTTCACTTTGAAGATTGGTTTCAATTTAACCATATAACAGAAAGTCATCTTGTGGCACTATGCATGGGATTTCTGTTAAAAAAATCAATAAGGAACCAGTCATAATTACCTCTTGTTTAAGCAAGAACATCTGCAGTACACAGTATATTTAGATTTCTTTTTTCCAGCTCAGTGCACGTTACTTTTCTCTCTCCACACAGACTGCATAGAAGAAAAATGTATCAATTCCAGAGTGCTGGGTACCTTATACGTTGCTAGGGTAAACCTGGTTGCCTTGGAACTATGGAATCACAGCATCATTTTCAAAAATATTTAAAGCTTATAGCACTTGCAGAGTTTTCATGTTAATTTGTCTAAGCTAACCATAGTGTTGATTTTTATCGGAATAGCTGAGATTCATTGGAGTTGCCCTGGGGGATGAATTTGGCTTAGTGGCTTCATTTAAGTTCATTGAATCAGACTGTATGCTGGAATGCAAGCAAAGTGCACACTCTCATTTGCAAAGGTATAATTACTGCCCCTGGTATTTTGAGAATGAAAAAGAAACTGTGATTTGTATTTTGAAGGTGTTACCTGAACAACATCCAATGGGGAGTTAAATGAGATTTATAAGTATTATACTGATAATACTTATAAATACATGAGGCAACAACCATGCAGGGTTTCTTTGGTCCAAAGAGTTAACAGCAATATTTTATGGTCAGGCAGTGATTAAATTGTCCAGTAGGTGGCTGGCATTCACCAGCGGTAGCCTGCAGCTTCCATACAATTACTGTAATCATTTAAACAAGCTTGCTATCATCGTGGGAAGTGGGGAGAGAGTTGACGTCCAGAGGATCCTGCCTATAGGATCAGAGTCATCAAAAGAGCTGTTCCTTTCCCTCACTTTAAACCCAGCCTTCAGAAGCAGGTGCTGAGAACTGAAAGAGAATGTGAAATGCGGCATGACAGCAACAATCAAAACTTCTTGCTTTGTTCTTCACTTAATTCTGACTGAACTCTGATCCAGGAGCAGAAAGCTGAGGATGAAAATTTGACAAGCCTGGATTCAGAAAATGCTTTGTATCTGTTTGCCTCTTGATTTGGTAAACAGCCTTTTAGTACTGAGGAAAACTTACTTGCAAGACAAATGAATGAAACAAAAAAAAGTTCTAGGATAAAAAACCATGCTCAAAGACTTTCTGGCTCCAGTGTATGGAAATAGTTTTGCTCAGTGACAGTGGTTTTCTTTTCTTTCTTTCGCTTTTCTTAAAGTATCATGCAGTGATATGACTTTCAGTCTTTTCTGCCTGTTTAAAACAAGCAAACAGCAACAAAAGACAACTCCATAAATTTTATACGAGGATTTTTGAACAACAGAATTATCATCCAGTAGAAACAAAATCTGACCATGGCATCTGAAGAGTGCTTTCTGCTAGACTTGGAAGTGGATAACTTTATTCTTTGCAACGTCTCTGTGAATCAAAGTGCAAATCTCTCCATCCTTAGTGATGATCGGTTCTACCCGGGTTTTCTATACGCCATTCCAACCATTTATGGGATCATCATTTTGATAGGACTTATTGGCAATATCACTTTGATAAAGATCTTCTGTACTGTGAAGTCCATGAGAAATGTTCCTAACTTGTTCATCTCCAGTCTGGCTTTAGGTGATCTGCTTCTCCTAGTTACCTGTGTCCCTGTGGATGCCAGCAGATACCTCGCTGACAAATGGTTGTTTGGCCGGGTTGGATGTAAACTTATCCCCTTTATACAGCTCACTTCAGTGGGGGTGTCAGTCTTTACACTCACAGCTCTCTCAGCAGACAGGTAAGTATCCTACCGAAAGCCAGATAGTCTTGCTGTGTGATGATGAGAATGTTTATAGATTCGTGGTCTGTACAAATTACGAATTCATATTTTCCAGTTAAAAGTAAATGATACTGAATCTGAAAACTAAGCAAGAAAATTAATGTGTGTTCAGTTTATTTCTGCTTCTTATGACTGCAACCGTAAAACACAATGGGGCAGTGGCCTGAACAAGGAATTACGTTTCTGGGGCCAGGCTGCATCTTTGTATAGATTAGCAAACATCATCAGTTTAATTTGATGTGAAGAGGAACCACAGCAGAATTAAGTTAAAGCTTGGAGATTAAATAATCATTAATAAGTGATGCTATGCCCAAAGACAAGTTTCCTTCTCAAGTTCCTCAGATAAGACAACTAAGTTTTCACCAGTTCTTATTACATTAAGTGTGAAGAGATTAAAGTAGCAGTTTTAAGTAGGGCTGAACTCAATTCTCTCGAATGGTTGTTTCCCATATCAGACTTTATGTGAGGCAAGAGTGTAGTAAAGCATATTCAAACCTGGGTGCCTGAAGGTAGGCACGTAAATCCACAATAAGCAGCAAGACTGCTCTGATTCATTGATTTGCTCTTAGCTAACCCAGTTGCTCCAGCTATGGAGTGGACAAAAAATGTTTTTCCAACTACTGTTCAATAAAAATGAAATTCAGCTGTAATATTTTAGAAAATATATTAAACTGTGACTTTTGAAATCAATATGGCTCCAGAAATCAACCGCTAGGTTGGATTTAATCTAAGGCTTTCAGATCCAATTTTACAAGTTGATGTCTTCAACTGTCAGAAGAGATTTGAGTTTAATATTATTCCTAAAAACGTCATTTTATTTTCTGAGGGATTACAGAAATGCATTAGCCCCATGGCTCTTACCTAAATGGGTATTTTGTTTCTTGTTTGTAATCTATACGTGGCAGAAACGGATTAAGGTAATGTGCTACCCGTCTGGTAAACATTTTGAAACCTCACTAAGGTACGAAATCTTCCAATAAGAAAAGTCAGTTATGTTTTGCCTAGAAACGCATTTTGAGTTGTGTTCCCTACTTCATCAAGTGGTCAAATAGAAGAGATACCCATGTATCCCTTGCAAAAAATCATTTAAAATATTTTCATTCATTTAAAAAGAGTTTACACATCCACTTCTTCATATGTAATGTGATTTTGATGAAAGAAAGACGGGTCCACAGTGCTTCAGTGAGGGGGTGAATAAGTGTGAATGAGTTTGTTAGTCAATCACAATGATTCAGCTCTTGTATATCAGTATACACACAAAGATAGCATTGTCAGTGTCAGTAGGAGCTGAAACACGTGCCTTGACAAAGGCAATGCTTTTCACTCAATTGATTGCAAGAAAGTGGGGAAAATAGCAAAACCATACAAATCTATCAGAAGAGGATGACATGCACCTGTGCTCTCACTTTCCATCGGGCAGTTCAGTTGAAGAGCTCTTAGGAAAAGCACAATAATATTTCTTTAGAAACTGCTGACAAGCAGTATCCTTTCCCTGGTTATAATAAAATCAGCTTCCAACTCATTAAAAAAAGACGTGTTAATGGTAAAGAACGAATACTGTTCAGGGAACAGTCATGTGCCAGAAAAAGCAAACAGTATACATGTTTTTACTGAGCAGCTTATCAATAGCGGCTACTGCTGGGCTGAGGGAACAGAACAGAAAACTGCAGCTGTTTTCCTGAGACAGAAGTGCTTAGCTCTAGCCCCGTTTGAACTCAAAGCTATTTGCACATGAAGCATTATTAGTTGTCAGAAACTGCATCTCTCTGAAAATATCATTCGAGTCTGAGAAGGGAAAATGATGGAAACAATTAAAAGTTCCCTTTATGTGGTACAACCTGTCTTCTTTCTAAGGTATATTTTTGAGCTTACTTCGAGGATGTTTCTATGAATCTTCCATTTACCTCATTTAAAAACATGAAGCTTAAATCCTTCACATTTCACTGGAAATGTTGCTTATGGGTCTTATCTGTTTAGTTTATCAGGGCATTTAATTTTGGCTATTATTAGCATGGCTGGGATAATACAGTTGCAAAACAACAAGGGTTGTATTTGGCCAGCTCACAGATGCTCAGCAATATAATACATATTTTCTGAAAACTGGCAGTGTGTACTTTAGGGTCCATATTTAAAATTACAGAATCATTCATAAAACTAGTTCTTGGCCCCCAAGGGACACAAATGCTACCTCCAAAATGTAAATCAAATCTCATCAGTGCAGAGATCCCTGTCTGAGTCTGCAGTAGCAAACGCGGAGGCAGTAGCTGTGACAGGGATAGTTCTAAGTGGGGTGTTGACATTTAAACCTAATGATGATGATTGCATTGCTAATAACTTCATGTTGATCAAAGTACATACAGAAAGATGGGAAGGACCATAGCTGTGAAGATGACATCAGGCTATTCTGAGTGCCATCAAAGCTTTACAAAGCTGAGCCCACAGAGCCTAGGGGGACTTCTGAGCCCCAGTAAAGAAAAAATCCCCAGGACCCAAGCAAGTAAGGAAGCCATGCCTGAGGAAGCAAACAGCCCAGCCTGACATATTCTGCGTGGTGCTTGAATCCCATTGCCTCATTAAGCTGAAACCAGGGAGCCCAAGAAAGCATGAACAGACAACCTCCTTGGCTCTGAGTGTCATTTTAGTCTCCAGAGGAAAGAGGTCTGTTGTACCATCGCATACGCTTTTTTCCCCCCTTGTTTTGCAGAATAGCAAAATCAATTCCAGACTCTTGCACTCAGCATTAATGGGTTCATAATGTGCCAGCAGGTAAAAAAAAATATTATTCTTGGTATCACAATAGTGTCTAGAGGACTCAGTCAGGGATCAGAGCCTCATAGCACCAGGCACTATAAAAATATGCAGTAAAACAGAGTCCCTGCCCCAAACAGCTTACAGCTTAAGCTTGAGAAACAGTGGGTGGATGCAACAACCAGAAGAGAGGCAAGTGACTGCAGAGAGACAAATCTGATCACTGTGGCCAGCAACAGTCACAGCTGTGTAGGCACATGTGAACATTTTGTAGGCTTCGTGGCAGAGATGGGTTTTAAGGAGAGATCATAGGAGGATGGAAAAGTGACATTGCAAAGTTTTTTGGGAGGTGGAGAGGGAGTTCCTCTCTTGCAATCTTGTTTTGACATTTATTTTGAGGCAATGTATTATGGCCATCATTGCTAAAAATCTTAGACATGATTTTCACACTCCCTTGTTTGGCTGTAATGGTATCTAATCGCTACTATATTTTCAATTATTTCTAGAAGGGAAACCAGCAGAGCTACTAAAACCTTAACAAGAGCAAATATCACTAAATGCGATGCTAATTTATTTTTAATTGCCAGGTGCATAGCACTCTCACAGCCTGGAAAAGTTTAACTGAAATCCAATGTGAAAATGACATGCAAGGACAGAGGACTGTTGCAGTGCAGTTTTAGGGTTTCACCAAACTTTTCCTCTGAATATTTCATATATTGACTTGTTTAAAATATGAATAGTCTTTGAAACATTAGCTTTAAGTAATTGGCTAAATGGCCACTTGTGTAGATTCCTCCCTTACATTTTTTTTAGTAATTGAAGCCCTTCCTTTCTCTAGAATACTCCCTCTCATTTGTCCAGCAATCTCACAAACAAGTCCAATTTAAGAGCTGGAGTCAAAATAATTGAATGAGTTTTTTTCAAGTCAATTTAATAAACGCACCTTATGTGCAGAGCAAGGAAGTGTCCCAGTTACCAAAGGCTATGACAATCAGAGGGCAGTAAATTATTGCCTGATAGTGCTGCCAAAAAAACAGCTTTTTCCTTAGCTGCAAAGTGAAACTGTCATTTCAAGACAGAAAGAATGACTTTTCCCACCTCTTTTTGTCAGATAGGCGATTAAAACTTTTATTGTTTTACTTGCAGGAGTGCATGCTGCTGTGAGTTACTAGCCTCATGCGGATGCTGAGGCAAACTGCTATTCTCAGGATTTTCCTGTGATATATAAGGCTAGAAGCCTCCAAAGCCCCCATCTGCCTTTCACAGCTGCTACCACCTACACAATGAGTTAGTTAAACACGGGTATACCCAGCAGAGTCATTTCTCCAATTCTCCCTAGCCCATAGGCCAGCTTTATTAATAATAGTGTGATCATAATAGAGGAGTTAGCTCAGTAATGGGCTTCAGGAAAAAATCATCTTGCTGCCTGAGATGGAGAATACTATTAAACATTTATTATTTATTTACTATTTGTGCTACAGTGGAGCCCTGGGGCCCCATACAGGGACTAGGTCAATACTGTGCTAGCACTGTACAGTCACATAGAAAAGAAAGAGTCCAAAAATTGTGCCATATTCTGTAAAGAGAAGGGAGGACCAGGTAAAGGAATAATATTATGAGCATGAGCTCAGTGAGACTATGTTTCATATACCTGCCCCACTGTGTTTGGAATGGGTCACAGACTTCTGGTGACTTCTGTTCCTTGGGATCACAACAGCTTGTGGTCCTGCTCTCCCTCTCTCTCTATATATGTCTTATTGAATTAGTCTATGTGCATGTGTACCCTGCATTCTGACTGAATTCAGACTAACGCAGCTAACTACTTCTCCCTGTCAGCTCCACGAGGCAGCAGAAGCAAGTAGGAAACAGTTAAAGGGTGTAGCGTATTAATAGCCGTGCTCTGTGACCTATAAGGTGCCATTGCTGGGTATGCAAGAATAAAGAAGTAAGCAATGTTTTATGAGGATTGTAGGAAACCTCTGCAGGAGGGGAAAGGACATTTATCTGGACTGTTGTTGTACTCTGTTAAGAGAAAGGAATTCCTGTGCCGCTGTTGATGATGGGCCATGGACTGTGTCTGAGTTTGCTTGCCTGTGTTCTAGCTTGTTTGAGTGTAAGTTGCATGCAAGTGTAGATGTTTGGGTACCATTCTCTCTGGGAGAGAATGCACCAGTGAGATTAGCCTGTCCAGAAAAGTCAAGGCTGGCTCT